CCCACACCCACACCCATATCAAGTAATACCCGTTGCACACAGGAATATCATGTTCATTGGACGAACACGCACGGGAAAATCAACTATCAAATCACTATTGATTGATCCAACTGCTGTACCTACTGACTTGACTCTTAAATCTGGTACAAGAGAACCGCTATTTGATTCATTTCATGTACGTGACAATAAAATCGTTCTCAATATAATCGATACACCAGATCTATTTGAACATGGCAATACACAAATGGAAATTCGAGACAACAAAAAGATATTGGATACAATCCAAATGTGTATAAACCGTGAAATAACAAAATTTCATGTAGTTTGTTTCTGTGTAGCCATTACAACTGGTATTAATAAGGAAGATATTGAATCGATTAAAGAATTAGTTAAGTTTCTTGGTGAAGAAATTTCAAAAAATTCCTGTCTTATTGTTACACGATGTGAATCAAAAGATGAAAATCAGCACAAAAAAATGTGTACAGAATTATTAGAGGATAATTATTTCAAAGATATTGCTCCATTCTTTAAATTAGGCATTTTCTTCTCTGGTTCAATTAATCGTGATGATTATAATAGAGGCAATGAATGTCTACTCGATCAGTTTATTACGATTAGTGATTATCGGGTAAAACTGATTGAACTCTTTACGAGAGATATTGAGCCATTTCCGATTAGTGAAATGATAATTAGTCAAGTTCGACGAGCTCGTGATGAAACTTTACTTAAAAACATCGAACTTAAAGAGATGCGAGCTCTGGCAGAAGAACAAACACGACTCATCGAGGAATTACGATTGGCTCGACTCAATGATCAACAAGACACTGCGGAAATCATCAATGGACTCGCGGCTACCAATTTACGTGAACGTGAAGAGCAAGCTCGTTTACTAGCATCTCAACAAGAATCTTATAAACGATGTCGTATATCATAACTCGTATATTTAGAGGAAAAGATAAAATAATAAAAGACGTCATTATTTAATTGATCGTGAATACAAGTTTTCTCTATTCTAGATGTCTGCAATTGTACGGCCACCTGTTAATACTAAGGTTAAGCGTGATGAAATTCAACATGAGATTGAACAAATATTTGCTGATTTTGAGGAATTAGAGCAACAAAGTCATGATCAGGAATCTCTTGTCAATCGGAATATTCTATTAATTGGACCTTCAAAGAGTGGGAAAACAACATTGAGTCATGTTTTAATTGATCCACGATATGTAGCTGAAGAATTTTCGCTGCGTTCAAATTTGCAAACAGGAGCAACTTATGACCTAAGAATTCATTTACCAACGTCAAAGTTAATATTGAATATTGTTGAATTGACTGAGGAAATGATCAATAGAACATATAATCTATCGGAAATCAATTCAGAATGTAATCGTCTTGACATTCAAGGTTTTCATGCTATTTGTTTTTGTATATCCTTTGATACCGGTATTAATGGAATAGCTCTACAATCGCTCGAACGTTTTATCTATTATTTAGGCCAAGATCGCGCGAAACCACATTTATGCATGATTATTACTCGATGTGAATCGAAGGATGATGCACAACGAGATAAATTACTTGATGAATTCAAAAATGATACTGAACATAAACGAATTTCAGAGAGTTTTGGACGTGGAATCCATTTTTTTGGCGCTCTTAATCATGATGATTGGAATCGAGCTAATGAAGCACTCATTGATCAATTCGAAACTGTTTACAATTATCGAAAAAATCTATTGCGTCTCATTCGAACTGATATTAAACCTTTTCATATGCCAGCAGACCAATCAGAATCTCATCGACTATCTTCAATATCAAGGTTATTTTTCAAAATTTATAATATGAGAAAGTGAAAAGTTAGATCTCGAATTCATCAAAACTGATCAGATAGCTATGTTTGTTTTATTCCTCCTTCTAATAGATGCGCACTATAAGTCATGCCAAAAAGACGTTTGACACAAAAATTTTTTATGCAGTAGATTTTCAAAAATATGATTCTATACTTTTAGAAACTCCAATATGAACTTTTTGCAATTTGATCCTGTATTTTTGATACAACCAAGGAGCTCACCTCATATAAGGCCGTCCAGCGAGCCTCGAATTCCACATTCAGCACGATTGAAGCCGCGTCCTATGTCTCCGTCTCAACTACGTCCGGAGTAGGAATATTTGGGTGTAATGGCGCCTGATCAGATACCTGATGTAGGCACGTCACTAGTTCCAAAATATAAAAAAATTAAATCACGGAGTTGGTTTTGTTTTTGGAAGTGTACGTAAGTTGTTTCTTGTCTTAAGACTATAGTATATTGATGCGCATCACCACTTTTGGGAAGATCCAATAATTAGTTGAAACAACCTTGTCGGTTTAAATTTTAACAATTAATATTTTATAAACGAAAAAAGAAAGAACCATATATTTATTTGCATATTGATTTGAGTTCAATTGAACATAATGACCGACGTCTAACATGCAGCTCTAAATGTTGTAGTTAACAAGACGAACACTGGAAGTACTAGCGAGATTAGTATTGTAATTGATCTCTAAATTGCTTCGATAGGTTTTTAGAATATTTATTTCGAGTTTTCAAGTACATCTTCATCCAGTTGCGTCGATAAAATGCTTAATGAATCTCATAACTAAAACATTACTCATTTACCCATCGTGTTGTTCTATTATGCCAAGCTCAAACTTCTGCCACCAGTCTCATACAAATGCAACACTTCTATTTATTTTCTAGTCTTCTTAAGATCAGCAAATTCTAATGGTAAAAAAATATACTTGAGACAGTTTTAAGAGAAAAAGGTTGCTCAGTTCAGTACCTTGGAATATAATACTCATGACGAAAAACCTTGATCATATGAATCAGTTAAGAATCTGGTTGTTACCAATTACAATTGTAATTTCTGCGAAAATTTTATTCTCAAAGAGGAATATATGCTTGTGTTATTTCATACGGCTCTAGAAAACCCAAAAACTGTACAAACTCAACATCAACGTTTTTTTAACATACAAAGATGAATATTGAAAGAGATTTTTGCATTGGATTACAGCCGACTTGAATTGCTAACAGAAACCGAAAATATCTTAATACTTGGCAATTTAATTGTTTAGCGAATCATTATATACACTTTTCTATTTTTTTTCTTTTATTCAGTTTTTTGTTGCTGTTACAAAAGTTAATATCAAGAAGATTTGTCGGTTCTATGAAAACATCTATTCGAAACATTCTTCTGTGCTGAATTATGGCTGGTATAAGTCTCCTAATTACTTCATCTTTCATCTTTTTTGTTTTTAATATTTACTTTATCTATCGTAGTTCTACAATATATTGAAAATATAACGATAGAAGTATTATGCTGGTATCTTGAAATCTGCTAAGTGAATCTTTTATTTTAAATAAAATGTTTTCAGAAAGAAGCCCAGTTATTCATATTCATACACTGCCAGTAGTTATTCACTAAATTACTCATTTGTAATTTGCTCATTCATGTTCATCAGAATCTTTTCTAAAAAATTTCACATTATCTTTTGCTTAAATACTGTGCTCGGGGTTAGAGGAAAACGTCGAAAAGGAAAACGTCGAAAGGGAAAAATGTCGAAAAAAAGTAGAAAAGGAAAATATCGAAAAGGAAAACGTCGAAGGAAAAAATAGTAGAAAAGGAAAATATCGAAAAGGATAATGTCGAATAAGTTTAAAGATGTCATTAGTAAAGTTAAATTGCTTTTATTCATATTGGTGCGTCACCGACGAATATATTTTACTGTCCGTCGGATAAAGAAATTATTTTTTCTCAAGTATAATAGTTATATAGTCACAATGGCCTCAACGTTAGCTTCCAACAGTGATTCATTTACGACTGAGGAATTTGGCATATCTTTTGCCACATCTAATAAAAGCAAAAAATTACTAGTATTAAAGAGTTACTTATTTAAATGCAATAGAACAGCATCATTAAAAAAGTATTGAGTGTGTACTGAAAAATACTGGTGTTTACACACGCACAAATCTTGCTGATGAATTTATATGCATTAGGGGTGACCACAATCATCCTGCCAGCTCATATCAAATACAAGTAAAACTTGTACGAGATAAAATGAAAGAACGTATATTAGGTGAAACAACATCCATCACTAAAATATACCATATTTTTCATTCCTAAGCTCTAGCATTCATTATTTCAGCTTATAATCTTCGATTTTCAACTCGATTATCAAAAAAACACCCGAATATTTGGAGCTTTATTCAATTGCTTCGACAAGAACATGTTCGTTTCGAACGTATTTCAATTCAACTTGATGCTGGTGCATCTGTACCGAAACAATCAACAAAACAAAAGCTTTTCAAATAAGACTTGATACTCTGTATGATAGATTTCTCAAGAAGCAAATAGATGCCAAGGAACTATTGTCAAGTTTATCGTTACTAGTTGGGAAGAAAAAAAATAGCATTTTATAATATTCTGAATGCTCTCTGGTCTTTTCATTTTTAAATTAATAAAGCATACAATCTATCATGCATTACACGAACAGATCAATCATTTTGACATTTTCATTTTCGGTATTTTCCTTTTCTGCTTTTTTTCCTTCGACGTTTTCCTTTTCGACATATTCCTTTTCGATATTTTCCTTTTCTATTTTTTTTCGACATTTTTCCTCTTTCGACGTTTTCCTTTTCGACGTTTTCCACCAAGACCACTGTGCTCAAACCTGTCAAGAACAGAAGAGGGATATCGGCATATGAAAGCATTGTGAAAATCGTCAGATAATGGTATAGAGTACATATGGTATATGTGTAGGTTACGCGAAGACACAAATTGGCAACATATTTCCCATCTTACACCCACGAACAGCATATCATACTCACACGAACTCTAGAATTAAAATCTGAGTAAGATCCATTCAGACAGAATTATCTCACTTTTTACTAAGTTTGTTGCCCGTGACAGCGTTACTCGTCAATTTCAACATCTTCGAGCGAATTCATCACAAAAAAACTAGTTTGAATCAAGCATTAGCCATTGTATGTATAATAAATCAATAATTATAATTTCTGAAGACATTGGAGTTGTCTAAAACTATAACTCCGAAGAAAATGAAAACAGGAATACTCAATTTTGAACAAATTTGGTCTACCTCTCTACTTGTTATGCATTCTAAAATCTATGAAAAAAGCATTTTGAATAGAGTAAAAGAATGGGCTAAGACAAATCATGTCATCGCTCTCAAGCAGTAAAAGTTACGGTAAGGATATCTGCTGCAGACACACGTTTTATCAATATAACAAGAAATCAAAAACAGGTTGGTAGGGAGTATGCCCGTCTTATGAATTTATGTAGATCATAAAACAGCATACAATCTAGTTAGTACATTAGTCCGATTGTCAAAGTATTTCGAATGCACATGCCCCTCGAAATTGTAAATGTAATAGTTAACTGGCTAACTGATAGAACAGCATTTTCATGGTTTGGAAGGCAAAACCTAGGTGGATTCAAAAATAAATGTAGGTGTAGATGTGAGTGTGGCTAGCTGTGTTAGAAGAAGATCCACACAACCAACATCCACATCCCACATCCACACCCACACTCTCTTTCATAAAAGACTTATTGTCATCTCTATGTCTCATTATTTCCATTCCAAAGAAATATCGAAAACTAAATATTTTCTCAAAAACAAAAGAAAAAATAGTTTTATATTAAATTATTCACCGATCAAAATAATCTTCATTAACACCGATCGCTACATTACACGTAACTTAATCATACTCATCATACACTTGTTTTTTTTTCAATGTCCCAGTGAATATCTGAATTATGTGCTAACCCGCTTGAAAAGTTAATATTAAGTATTTCTTTTACCGTAGGCAATGGTATTGACTCGACATCAACTATATATAAAAATATATATCGAAATTTTTTGCTTTGAGACTTTTTATTTATGTATACATGAATATAATATATTACATTCGTTAAAATAAAAAGTAATTTAATTTTTTTACTACCTTGTGTTTATCGATTTTATTTTCAAGGATGAATATATATTTCGATGTTATTTCGTATGCCGTATTTATTATGCACAAATCACTGAAGCAAATCATTTCATGCACAGCGTGTGCATGTTGTGTAGCTATGTTCGTGATGAAGTGTGTAATAAAAAAGAAAAAAACCAAGCAAATTAACGATGAGTAAGAAACTCGTAAAGGTGCCTTACTGTAAAGTTAAAAAAAGAATCATTTGCAAAAGCAAGTAAACGGTGTTACATAACCACCACCAGGTCAATAGCAAGTTTACATCAAGTTTTTCCAATACATTGACTTCAATTGATTTGGTTGTGGTGAGTAGCGTTTCTGCATAATGTTAAAAGTAGAAACAAGCTTATAATATAATATGTATATAGTAGCGATCTAATTTGCATGTTAGACACGATTTAGATAGATATGGAATTGATCTCGATATTTGATTTATAAGTGTTTTTTGGTAGTCTCGGTGATTCATTTTGCTGTCTTTCTCTCGCTTGTATTTATGACTTAAGTTAATTTCAGTTCATGGGTGATTTCTTAACATTAGATATTAAATTTACATGCTTTTTTGCTATTACTATAATATCATTTTGAGTTAGTTGAGAGACTAACATTGAGCTATCAGCATAATGTAACTAAAGTTTTGATGATAATAGGCACAAAAATGCTGGCAAAACAATAGTTAAATCTTCATGTCGGAGTCGATGAAGGTGAAAGGCTTCGGTTTTCCCAGCATTGTCTTTAGATCAATTTAAAATGCTTAGAATCAGATAATGATGAAAAAAGTAAGAGCCTGAAAATTCTTTGGAGTGTTGTGTAAGGTATCAACATGAAGAAGTAATATCTTGTGTCAGACGAGGAAGCGTAAAGGAGATGTTAGGTAATTTTAATCTGGTATTTTTCTATGAGAAAAGCTACAATGAGTTTGAGATTGGCTGAAATTTTTGCATACGACACTTTCGCATAACATTAATTTTTTCTATTCTTTACTTGCTAAGCTAATAATTCATCCAAATTTCATAAATGTTAATAATTCTTTTGATTTTGATCACTTTTTCTTATTCATGTTTCTTGATCGTATAATATGGAATGCATGATGCAGCAAAATTTTTATATTTTTTTTACGAAAAAAATTTATCTGTGAGGTCTGTTAAAATCTACCTTATTTTATTAAATATGCTAACTCTACTAAAACACAACCAGATCCATAAGAGTCTATAGAACTCTGATCTACATTTTGTGTATACTCTTCCGATCTGACTGTTTTTTTCAAAAAAGAAAGTTGTAAGCGTCAGTGTGGTAACATCCTGCAGTTGATGATTCCATGTGCGGAAATATCGCACAGGAAGTTTGATCTTAGAGTGGATTGCGAAAGACAGATGCTAAAAATGCCTGGTAGTGCCCATGACTCTGGAAACGTGGAGATGAAAAGTTTCGGTCATACAGCAACCGGAGGAGTGAGTACAAAACCTACGATCTACACTAAGATGCTTTGTAATGTGGGTAAAATGCTTCAGGTCATGAGATATGGAAAATACAGAAATGTAGAATATTTAGAAAGTATAGAAGATAATTTCATAGACTGTGAGTCTACTTATGTGACAACTTGGTCTAGTGCATTGCCGAGTAGCCTCGCATTGGAAAGAATCGGGCATGTTGTACTAATTATGTATATTTTTTAAATGATAGATTATATGCTCTAACGAGAAACTCATTCTTCTTTAAATGGAAAGATATCATTTGACTATGCAACTGATGATTATAATGTATAGTCAGTGATTGTCATAAAAAAGTGTCAAGTTTTGTATACGTTTCAACAAGAAGTACAGAAAATTTCAATATGAAAGAAAATGTTGCCATAAAAGTAAGAAGCTAGATGAAATAATTTTAAATGTATCTAAAAAAGAAGAGGAGATGTGGGTGAGTGTGTGCTGCGGATAGGTGTCGAGTTTAAATATCGGTGCCGGTGTGGGTGAAAAGAATAGGCACAACCACGCATCCATTCAACCTCGTATTGATTCACGTTATCGATTATGTTGTGTATCGAAAAACTATGAAGCCTGCTTTCATTGAAAGAAATAAACAATTTTGTAGAGGACTAAGCGATGAATTTTTCTATAAAACAACATTGTTTCGAAGCGACGAGAATAGACTAAGATATTGATGAAAATGCTGAGACTGTCATTCAGTTTACGACATCCCTTTTGTTGTTTTCTCGCAAATTTTCTTTTAAATAAATTATAGCTCTAAATGTTATAATCACCAGTAAGAATGCGAAATAGTGTATCAAACATCTCCACTGAAAGCAACAATCAGGCTGAATCTAAATTTCATGGCAACATATTTCTTCAACGTACAACCCCTATTGTCCTGTGAAATATTTGTCTTACATTTTTTTTACTTTTGCTATTTTTTTTTGAATAACATACTCAAATCATTTTGCCTTTTCGTTGCTATCTCTATATGCATATAAATGATCAAAATTCTCTTGTCATTTCTAATCATTGACTATGATAAATTTACATGCTTCAGAAAAAATCTTAAACAGCTGGAAATATGCTTATCATCTTCAATAAAAGCTTCATATGTGATTCTTAGACAATAAAGAAAGCATTTAAGATATTCATTGTGTCAGACTTTTAAGTTTGATTTAGTTTTGAAAAGTAATTCTAAAAATATTAAAAGATTAATTGGATGTAAAATAATTAGCTATACATATCAGTTTTTATAAATTTCATACACTATGAATCGACTAAAGTTGCGTCTAGTAGAATTTTTTCAATAAGAAATCCGTAAAGGTGCTCAAATTTAGCTTAGAAACAAGAAGTAATAAGTCGCAGTTTCATACAGTAAAACTAACTGTAGAGATCGTCGTATAAAACTGTGTCTTTGAACTGAAATTCTTGAATTCAAACACGTATAAAACTATGAACGCGTTGAAACTGGTAAACATGACCAGAAGAATTCGTAAAAGAATGTAAATTGAGAAAAAATTATGAATTTTAACCGGCTCATCCATCCGCAGTAGGTTTACCTCTATTAAAAATTCCTATAAAAAAAAAGATGTTCTAACGGAGTTTTTATGATTATAAAAAATATTGTTCTAGAAGAACCTTTGTCTCGATTATTCTCTTTCTGTCTAGTTATAAGAATCAGAAAATCATTGATAATTTCATTTGATAACAATAGATCTTTGAGTGAAATAAGATTTTCGAACCAGCAAAACATCGTTAGACTCTTACTGATGAAATAATGCAGAGTCACTACGACACATTTTGAATTCTCAGAAATAGATTTAATCTACAGAAAGATTTTTCTTTTCTTTGTACAAATTGTCTTAAAAGATACTGTTGATAATATAAAGGAATGATGAACTTGCTCAAAGATACGTAAAGCAAATGAAGAATTATCGCTTTTCATTTAGGTCATCTAGAATCAAAGGCAACACCTACAGTTTTAAATCGAGTCACAGTAGAAGAATAACAGAGATATGTAGATCGTTTTTCACGTTAAATTTTTTTTTCTTTTCGATCGAAATAGATCTTAACTTTTCGAACAATAGCAGTTTTCCTTAAGAGCTTTTATAAATATGAATGATGTAAGCCTTCGTTTTTCCTTTCAAATAATCGGAGTCTTCTCAATGTATTGTCATTATTAAAAAATTTAATACTATGAGAAAGGTTTGTTGTTTATTTTATAAGTTGGGCGAAAATATGAGCAGCATATTATTTCAGATTTAATATCAACATGATCGAAAGAAAGATTGCTTCTTCTTCTTTAGAATATACATCACGTGTGAAGAGAACGATTTCTCAATTCACATATCATCAACATTAATAGTTCTTTTTTAAATCTTCGCGATTTTAAAGAAAGGTTTCAAAGAAAAAAATATCTGCCACCCTCATGGTAGCAATCTCAATGAAATGTCGCTAATAATAATACTTAGAAAACGAAGATTACAATTTATATTTTACTATTGTACATTTGAAGAAACTAACAAAGATGATAACTTTTTGTAACAAAGTTGAGCTTATTATTTCTTCTAGAGGAAGTTTATAGAACTCGATCCTTGTTATGGTAGAAATTTCTCAATCAAATAAAAAACAGCATGTTTTCAATGCACGATTCGATTCTCTGAATTCAACTAACTTTGCTGTAGGGATTTCCGAAAGAGGAAAAACTTACTCTTTGATTCTTACCGACTGAAGTTAAAAATCTATACATTACTAACTAACAATGCTCAACTTAGTGAAAGATAATATCGCTTGGTGTATAATATCATCAGAGTGACTAAACGAAAAATAACTGTCATTTTTCTTAACGAATTTGAATCTCTTCTTCGTCTATCATTTTAGACCGCATCATAAATACTTATAAATAAAATAATAAAAGTGATTGTATAACATTTTTTTAGATTGTAGAAAGCATTCATACATTTGATAATTGAATCGAAACAACGACGTATAAAACTTTTATTCTATTCATCCGTCTTGATGAACATGGCCAAGGCTGCTCTACCTATTGATAAGTTCCATGTAGATGTCGACGACCAGTCACTGGAAATTTTCTGTATTATCTGGCTCGATGACAATATCAAAGCCAAAGATAATCGAGATACGGAACAAAAATTACGTTCTATTATTAATCGTTTCAAGAAATTTCAAGATTTAGAACAATGCTAAAAATTTATAGAACAACAATCACAAGATCGACTACTTATGATTGTTAGTGGTCGATTAGGACAAGCAATAGTCCCTTCTATTCACAAAGTTCGACAAGTTATATCAATCTTTGTGTATTGCATAGATAAGGAAAGGAACAAACAATGGGCTGTCAATTTTCCAAAAGTAAACATTGACTAAATGATTTAAATTTTATTTAGTGATTTTTTTTTGATAGGTAAAAGCTGTTATTGTTGAACTCGATGAACTAGTATCTCGAATTAAAGATGATTACAAAATTCAAAAGATTGTAGAAGAACCATTGTCAATTAATACTTTCACTACAGGTTCTGGTGCTGGTAAATCAACAAGCAATGTAAATGGTAAATTCGTTTTTTCACAAGTTCTTATTGATTGTCTTTTACGACTTAAATCCACTCAAACAGATATCAAAGAACTTATTAAGATTTGTAAAAGTGCATATGAAGGTAATGATAAAGAGTTAAGCAATCTTCGCGAATTTCGAAAGAATTATTCACCGGAAGAAGTATTAAAGTGGTACACACGAGAATCATTCTTTTACAAGACTCTTAATACAGTTTTACGCACTGAAAATATTCATATGATTTTTTTATTTCGTGCATTTATCTCTGATATTCAACGTCAATTGAAAAATCATCAAACTAACAATCCTCTACGAGTATATCGAGGACAAAAGATATTAGCCGATGAACTGAAAAGTTTAAAACAATGCTGTGGCCAGTTTATTTCAGTAAATTCATTTTTTTCCACCAGTACTGATGATCGGGCAGCTGTTAAATTTCTTAGTGGTTCTAGTGCTACAGAGAATTTAGAGTCAGTATTGTTTGAAATCGTTGCTGATCCTAAGATGGCAACTACGAAACCATTTGCTGATATTAGCAAATTCAGTGAATATCCTGACGAGTCAGAAATACTTTTTACGCTTGGTTCTATTTTTCGTTTGGACAGCGTCAATCGCAGCAGTGATGATCAAATATGGATTATCCAAATGACTTTATGCAGTGAGAAAGAGCATGATTTAAAAGATGTTCTCATTTATATGAAACAACAACTTGGAAATGAAGAAGCAAGTCTTCGAACATTAGGAAAAATATTATCGAAGATGGGAAAATTTGATTTAGCCGAACAATACTTTACACGCTTATTAAACGAAATTTCACCGAATGATCCTTTAATTTTTGAATTGTATAAAGATCTTGGTGACCTAGCATCACTAACCCATGACTACGAGAAGAGCATTGAATGGCATAAAAAAGCAATCACACTCAAAAATTCTATTGGTAAGTTCATCGAAAGAAGATTTTATCTTAAAATGGATATCATTAGATCAAAATGAATGTTGTGTTATGCAAATTGGAGTTGTAAAAATTCATAATCGATTTTTTTTAAAAAAAGTCTTGTTATTGGTTATTAAAGCAACCATGCCAGATGTCGGAAATAGTTGATAGTTAGAATTGAAGTGATAGAACTAACTACTGTTATCTGCTCTATTTCCCAATTTTATCTCGTCCAACGATTGTCTTTAGACAATATTTTTATGATAATATTGATTTTGATATCTTCCTATCAATATTCCCATATCATGACGGTCATGTTGAACAAACCAACGATTTTTAACGTCACAGCTAATAGGTATAAATTGAATATGCGTTCAACTATCATGTCATTCTTAGAAACTGTGCTTAATGTCTACAGAGTTTAAATGAGTTAGACTCGTTTGAACAGTACATTCTCATATATGTTCAAAGAATTTTGAAGTATCAACTACGATTGTGATAAATCTTTGTTTCCATAATCTTCGCAGTTCTGTTAATTATAATCTGTTTAATAATAATGATCTAGATAGTTCATTCTCATATTCTGTTATTAATCCTACATTATTATGAGTAGAAATTTGTTCAACTTTGAAACTTTCCGTTATTCTAAAACATCTCTTATCATGTTTCTTGTAATTCACTCGTTGGGTAGCGTTATGCATCGCTGTGCACTTTTTACATTCTCTTGCAGCAAAAGCTTTCAGTTTTCGAATACATGCCATTAGTCTCTTTTTTTCAAGGAAACTATTAAATCTTCGTGTTTTCATTGAAGTGTTGATTGAAAAAATCTTCGAATTATTTAATTAATAAAAAGAAAAACAAATATTGACTCTCTTTTGGAATCCATTTCCGATTATCGTAAGATCATTTGTATTTTCTTTGACAGTTATAAATCCATGTATTTCTGCCGGCTGAGTGTTATTATGATAATAATTTCTATTATGACATGTGTAGTGGTGTGACATTTTGTTCTTAAAAACCAGTCTATTACTCTGAACAATCTCATAGATATCAAGTTTTAAACTAACGAGAGCGTGGAGTGTAGGGTGGTGTGGGTGTCGAGTATGGGTACGTGGGTGTAGTTCTTGATTACTTCTGTATCCACACCCACGCTCTTTCTTTTCTTTTTCTCATTCATTGTAGTGATTCCCAATATTTCAGTCGATGTTCGATGGAAACAGAATGGAATAACCGTTGCTGGAGGCCATGGAGAAGGCAGTGCCACAAATCAACTCTACTGGCCGTGTTACAGTGTATTGTAACTACATATACCTCGATTCTATCTATTCGCTTTTCTTTATATTTTCGTTTCCATTCTTTTCTTTGTCCTTGATTAATCTTTCTATTCTTTTCTACTTTTGTCCTTGTTTTTCATGTTCGTATATAAACGTTTGTTTTCTTAAAGAATAAACAGAGAGAGAATAAACCACATACGCACGTTAACTGTGTTCGTCGCTCTTCGTGAGCGTGAACGCTAACAGGCCGGAAGGTCTCTTCGTCGATGATGATCAAACGATGATCATCACCGACACATACAATCATCGTATTATCCAATGGAAGATGGGTGATATGAATGGACAAGTAGTAGCAGGTGGCAATAGCAAAGGAAATCGATTGGATCAATTGAATGAACCAACTGATGTCTTAATCGACAAAGAGACTGATAGTCTCATTATCTGTAATGAAGGACGAGTCGTACGACGGTCTCGTCGTAGTGGCATCACCCACGGAGAAATCCTCATCGACAACATTGATTGTTGGGGATTGGCCATGGATGATCAGAGATATCTCTACGTCTCTGACTACGAGAAACAGGAAGTAAGACGATATCAAATAGGAGACAAGAATGGAACTCTCGTGGCTGGTGGCAATGGCGAAGGTGTTGGTCTCAATCAACTCAACGTGCCGACCTACATCTTTGTCGATCGACAACAGACTGTCTACGTGTCAGACAACTACAATCATCGTGTGATGAAATGGAATAAAGGTGCAAAAGAAGGAATAATCGTCGCTGGCGGCCAAGGCAAGGGGAATTCTCTGACGCAATTGTCGTGTCCTCATGGACTGTTCGTTGATACGTCGGATACCATCTATGTGGCAGACTCGTGGAATCATCGAGTGATGCGTTGGCCTAAAGGAGCGAAACAAGGCGCTGTTGTTGTGGGCGGAAATGGTTACGGAGAAGAAGCAAATGAGTTCAACCTGCTCAGAGGTTTGTCCTTCGATCAACTAGGCAATCTCTATGTCGTTGATTATGGGAATCATCGTGTTCAACGATTTTCTCTCGAATGAACTCAAAACGATGGAGTATTTTTTTTCTTACTTTTCCTCTGAAATAAATTCACGTTGAATTGATGAGAGCAATGCTTATTCTATTCGCGCTCGCGACCATGAACTACCCTGGTGGAGCTGTGACGAGCGTAAAGCTCATGCACGTGCGGGTAGACCCACGTCATCCACATGAACCCATTTGATGTCATGTATCAGTGAGTATGGAGGTTCGATCGTGTGTCACAGACACCAAAGCAGTTCCTGACTGGGTTTTCAGGAACTCCCCGAAAGTTCTTCATATAAGTAGAACCTAACCTCAACGGCCATAACTCACCCCTTCCTCTCACTAATATTCACTATTCTGAGTTTACTTCACTCTCATAATCTCAAGAAAAAAATATTACTTACCCTGTTTAATGTTGTTGACGATGATATCAAGGACTAAACGAAAAATAAATTTGATTAAAATTATATAGTAGAAGAGAAGGAGCTATAACTTACCTCACTGTTATCTATTTCTTAACTATTTCAATATCTAATAAATGTGGAAACATCGGATTTAAATCCGGGTGTTATGTGTACTTCAAAAGGTGAACTGGACATATGAGCCATCCTACCACGTGTACGCATCAAAATTATCCTAGCGACCTCCTTCTATTAAAACTTGATTTGTATCAGTTACTGCTCAGCCAACAGGGTTTTGAAGCAAATATAGCTCAGATTTAAACTCTTCGTCCTGAATTACCCTCAGAAGGTCGTTCTTCCTAAAACTTGATTTCTATTTGTTACTGCTCAACCAATAGAATTTCGAGGCAGGTGGAGCTCAGATTCGAGTTCTCCGCCCTAGAAAACCTCGAACTATCATCTCTGTGATCGGAAGATGGAGCTTCACTTTTCGATCAATTGGAACATGGACAAAAACAGAACCAATTTCCGTTTAAGTATCTTTGCAACAGGTGACTTAGCCTTCTTGTTTCTTAATGTTTTATATACCATTTTGTAGCTCGTGAAATTCTCTATCGAATGGTATATAATAGTTGGGGTTTTGTTTGATTATGAGAGGAAAAGGTTTTTACGAAAAGTGGAATAGGTCAATGTTCGCATAGAAAAGCATAGGGAATAATGACTCTTTTTACGATAACTCAGCAATGGTTCGACGAATTATTCTTATCTTCGAACTCGACCGAGATATTGCTGAGACGAAACTGTGTAGAAAATTTCATCGCGATCGGACTCTCCTTTCGAAAGTTATCGTGTAAACGGCTGGACACACTGACCAATTCTATAGTGTACTCACTTTTTGAGTACACAAAAATGAGTCGGGTGTGGGTGTTTGGACGTGGGTATGGCTGTGGCTGTGGGTTTGAGGCGTGGGTTATGGGTGTATGTGGGTATTGGCGTCCACTTCACTAACGCCTGCACCCACGCCTACACCCATCCACAAGCTCACCCACACATACGTCTATACTCCACACCCCACGCATACCCACACCCATACTCACACCCACCCCATTCTTCGTAAATGATGTACAGGACTTTCTGGCGCATTTCAAAATTTCCAAACAAGTTATTTATTTTTCTTCTTTTCAAGATGCAGACACTGGTGACTAACAACAAAAGAATAACGAATCAGGAAGGAATTGCTGTAGCTAAAATCATTTTCGTTTGTATTTTCATTTGGCTTTTCCAATGAAATCGGAGTGCTAGTCTTATTCGAACAGGCAACATTGAACTATGATAATTCTTCAAGTGGGTGTGGGTGTGTGGGGTGTGGGTGGGTGGGTGTGGTGTGGGTGGTGTGGGTGTGAGTGTGGGTGTGGGTGTGGGTGTGTGGGTGTGGGTGTGGGGTGTGGGTGTGGGGTGTGTGGGTGTGGGTGTGGGTGTGGGTACAGAGAATCATAAAATCAACACCCACACCCACACCCACACCCTCCGTCATGAATGTTTGTCATATCGACAACAATATCTAATCTATTACCATCAGATAGCATTTTACTGTGGTGTGTGGATCATCGAGCTACTCTTTCTTGCTCTTTCATTGGGGTGTGAGTGTGAAGTATGGGATGTGGGGTGTTGGTGTGGGTTTCGATGACAGAATAGTCTACACCCACACCCAC